CAATGCAATAGGAAAATTTGTTTTTCACCACATGGGGATGGTTATAGAAGGATGATGATTGGTTCTTCAAAGAAGAGGAACAAATTGTTGATGAAGGAGTATAACCCATAAATGCATACGTTCTTGCTTCCTTTGCTAGAAGTAATTTTACTGCTTTTGAACAAAGTATGTTAGAGAAATTAGATAAAATACATCTTTGGTAATAGGAGAAACATGAGTATTACTACTCCAGATTTGACGGTTTGGATGATCAAGTATCCTCTATTCTATCATTAATATAACAAGAACAAGATGACACAGAAATGGAGAATGAAGGAAGTGATGATGAAGATAACAGAATAGTTGAACTATCTTCCAATGATGATGAATGATTAATATATTTTCCTTAATCATGTTTTAATTTGCTTAAATAATTTCTTTGTTGCATTGTAATATTTGACATATTAAGTTGTTGGTTTGTAACCACTGATACTTGATATAACTTTTTTATCTGATATTATATTTGTTATGCTATTATTCTTCTAACTCTATGTTTAACCTTTTTTTAATAAGTTCAAAGAGGGAGAAAAGTTATTGAAACAGATGTTGTTTTGGTATGCTAGTTGGAGAAGAGTTTATTGAAAATGTTGCTAAAAAATGTTGTATGCTTTACTAGTTGACCATCATAAAAAAAAGGGGGAGATTGTTAATGAAGAAGGAAAATTGTTTGAAAAATTAATTTTTGATAATGTCCTTATAAGATAGATAGGTAGTTGTGTGAGTAGTTTGTATAAAGCCAAATAATCTAATCTTTGTTAAAATAAAGAAGATAGAAAATAAAAATAATCAATTATGTTAAAATTAAATTTGTATAATCAATTAGATAGGTACTTAATCAATTATATGACTTAAATTCATATTTTCGTAATATGTGTTAATCGATTATGTGGTCACTTAATCAATTATGTGTATAAATCTATGTTTGACATAACGCACTAATAATCGATTATGTTAGTACTTAATTGATTATATGACTTATTTTTAGTCTGTCACTGCACACAAATAATCGATTATATATTCTACTATTAGATTATCTGAATCAGTTATAACATATTTTTACTCTATAAAATGATGAAAATTTTTCTTCTATTAAACACATCTTTTAGAAATGATTAAAACAATTAGAAAGAATGTTGTGGGCATAAAGAAAAGTGTGTGATTCTGTAAAATGCTTTGAATATCAAACTCAAAACAGAGGTTATTTGGTTATAGGATGCAATATTCTAAAAGTCTAAGATGAAATCGTTCTTGTCTTTCTCTTTGTGAATCTTTTATTGTATTTTGATGTATGTGAGGTGAGTCACATCGAATTAGCTTGAAAATTATGAGGAAAAACATTTTCAAGTATGGTTTGTGTTTAGATTTTGATTAAAGGTTGTTGTAGTCAAGATTATTAGGTTAGGTTGTAATCTTATTACTAAACAAGTTTTAATGAAAAATTCAAGTTAAGGTTGTTTGGTTAGACTAGATGTAGATTTAAAAAGAATCGAACTAGTATAATCTCTTGTGTTCTTTTCTTTTCCTTATCTTGATATTCTTGTTATTTTAATATTGTTCTAATTCTCTTTAATTTGATTATTAAAAAAAGATTTTAAATAATTAATTAGAGTTAGAAAAGAATTTGAAAACCTAAGTCACCCGTATTAGGTGTGTGTAGACATTTATATTTTTCTAACAACTTTTTTTTGTTGGAGAAACTAATAAGACTTTTTTTAATATAAATTAGCTTATTATTAATGTTTATTAAAAGCTTATTTCACTTTTTATTTTTATGTTTTCTCTGTAAATATTTACGAATAAGTTTTTCAAAATCTTAAGTGGAAGAAAAACTCATTACAAATAAGAAGTTTATTAAATCTCTATTGGGATAAACTTTTTCGGAAGCATTTTTAAGAAAAAGAAGGTTAAAAATAATAAAATAAAGCAAGTATATCTATAAATTAATTTATAGAAGTTTTTTAATATTATAGTTTATTGCAAACTTAGTTTAACTTATGCATAAATTTAATGGATTTTTTATTTATTTATCTTCTTGTTTCTGTTTCTAACATTTTACCAGAAAGATTAAAGCAGGTCCTAATTGTCATATGCCAGAAGAACAGTTTAGGCTATCAATGAGAGGAAATTGGTTGATGAATAAAAAGCTTTTGGAAAGTTGATGAAAAACCTAAGCAAGATGCATGACATGATGCAAATATTCAAAACACTTTTATATTATCAGTGCTTACACTGCTCACTCTAACCATGCAGTATCTGTTCCAAATTAAAAGAATAGTGCTTTCTAAGAATACTAAAGAAAACACAATTACTTGTTAAAAATGATAAGAAGTTTATTTTTTAATATTACAATTCGAACCATGATTTTAAAATGTCTATATTATAGTGAACTACGAGTTAAATTTATAAATATAAACTTTAACGTCTATTATAATATACTACAAATGTTATCTTGAATATTTTAGTAAAATATATCAAATTTTAATAACACTACATAAAAGTCATTTACTAACAAAAAAGATGCTTGGCATTGAATTTCTCTTTATTAGTATAGCCGTCGTCTAACATAAAGTAACCTGTTGTTGTAGACATCATGGATCTACATTCATATAATGCATTATAATAACTTTTTTTTTTTGGACATTATATAAACTAACAAAAATTAATCCAACATCAAGGTCAGTTTGAACAATTTACAATAAATATTTATAGAAAAGAATGTAAAATAAAATCAATTGTGTATTCCATTGGGTCTATAAAATAAATCGTTAAAATCTGTTTAATTTTTTCTCTCATTTTCTTTCCTACAACATATATTTTCCAAACTAACTTTACATCGTGGGATTCCTTTGTACCTACCATTTCAAACTTATCATCAGATTATCAGTGGTTGCTAAACTTAAGTGGGGTTTAATATATAAATCAACAGTTCTTTAGTAGTGTTTTAATTAGAAACTTAAAGGATTAATGGTATATTAATTAAATGTTTTTTTATAAGGTTGTCTAATGTGATTGTAAAAGGAAAAGCATAATAATAACATTTATATATCTTTCGCGGAAGCTACTTCAGGCACAATTTAAGGTGAGTGGATGACTTTTTTTATAAAGGAAAAATGTTTTCATTTGGGATCATACTTTCATGTTGTTCTATTTTTGGATTATATTTTTAAGACGCATGTATGTAAAAAATTAGTAAGAGATATGACGTATGATATGAACTTTTTGAAGTTCAAATAATAGTGAAAGCATTTTATGACATTGAAATATGATAAGTGTCAAAGCATAAATCATCCCTGGTGAGAACTGAAAGGGGAGGACATAGAAGAAAGTTCCATAAAACATTGTTACTTTAATGATATGCATATTGGACCATTATATGCATAAGCTAACAAACACCACTTATTATAAGGAGAAATGGGCTTAATCAGCATCACCCAACGTGTCTCTGTGGGTATCCACATATTGGAGCATTTATATTATATTAAGGACATCTTCAACTAGTTTGAGTGTCTCTTTGACCAGTTTCAATTCAATGGAAATAATAAGTTTGTTTTTGCTTATGGTTAGTTTCATCTTTTCATATATTGTTTCTTCTTTTGAGCGAAATGAAGAAAAATATTAGGTAACCTAAATTTGCTCCTATGGCTTTTTTCGGCCTCAACCATTCTTCAACAGTTTCGTGTGTGTGTGTGTATATATATATATATAGTTGTCAGTGGCTAGTCATTGGTCCTCAACTGATCAACTTGCTTTAATTAAATGTTGAATTATACCAGTTAATTAAACAAAACAAAGTTACTAATTCTATTTAGGGCATGTTATAAAGCAAGTTGTAGTCATTAACCCCTCGTCTTTAGCACTTAAAGCTTAAACAGATCACAAGCTTAGCCGTTTTTTTCCATTCAAATTTAAACCTACTTATCCTTTGTGGGTGTAATTGTCACAGATAACAATATAGCAGTGATTATTGAATATCCAAAAACCTATTTGACACCTAGTAACAAAAATATACATTATCATATAGAAAAATGACAAGTCTTAATCAAGTCTTAATTAGAGATCGATAAAGTAGAACAAAATAAATGAAAATCATTCATCAACTCTTCCTTAAAAAAAATATAATAAATCCTCAACTCACGACTGAATTTTGTGGGATTTAACTATAAACTCAAACTCATTATATTAGATATAATAAAATTATACCTCTGATTGGATAGATATACACCTTAACATAGAAACCTACGCAAGGATGGAACACCACCTTAGAATAGGGTCGAAACATCACACATGTATGTCCTTGCCTCGAGATGTCATTCAAATAAATCCTAGTTTTCCAATAACTTTCTAATCTTATGTCTTTGAGGATATGAAAGAGATGAATGACACATGTTAACTGAATAGTAGAGTAAGTGAGTTTAGTGTGGTGGGTTCGCAGCACCTAAAATCACGATTTAAACTTGTCTACCACTTTTTATCATTTGTAAACTTGTGTGCGAAAAATGTATGGTTTATGTTTTAAAACGAAGTAATGGTAATGTAATTCGAATATAAACAAGTCTTAGGTAATTAACATATACATTAGGTTAAAAAGGTGATACTAAATTTTACCCATACACAAATATCAATCTTGTACATGGTAATTAACGCATTTATGCTAACAATTTAAATTTGTCTAACGAAAAACCAACATTGATGCAACCGCGAACCAATTTGTGGAACCAAATTCTTTTTCCTCAGTACTAAGAATGAAGAGTACAGTGGTCAATGATACCATGAATTAACCGGGGCTTTTATTCGTACAAGCACACAAACATGTACTTCCAATTGGACTAATTAACTTGTAATCATCATTTCTTGCTAACATTATTGCACATTCCGGATCATCTCAAAGCACATTTTCCACTCAAAGTCCATTTTATTTCATTAATATCTGCGGCATGCACAAACATGATAGTCTGCACAACTTATGCTGCTCTTGTTGTACCTTTTCTTGAGTTGCCCTTGGCTGGAACTATCCGAATTCTCTTTGCGACACGTACAAAATCCCTAATTAATAATATTTATGAAATTAGTCACTGCATATATGTGAAAAATAAAGGTTAAGTTTATATACTTTTGTGCTGTTTTCCAGTAATCTGCATAATTTTTTAATGTAAATCTCTATAATAATAATAATAAACAAAAACAGATAAAAAACAACACAATCAACATCATCTAAAAAAATGTTTCAAAGTTTCCAAAAGGAAATGTTCTTTTTCCTATGTGGCCTGCATAGTATTAATAACGATGAAAGCTATTTGTAAATGAGAAAAATAAAAGCTCATAACTAAGGAAGAGAAGAAGTAGTACTAGAGTAGCAATATTAATAATTATTGAATGTTAAAGCGGTGCTTACTTCCAGCTAAGGTCACCAGCTAGAAGAAGATCGTTCTCCATATCTTCATAGGCAATAAGGTGGCCAGGAATGGCATTGGAAAGGTCAAGATCATCACTGTCTGCAGCGTCTTCCGCAAACATTTGGCGTAGGGCTTTGGCCAGGCTTTGGTAGCTACCATGGTTATGGAGGCTGATGCGTTGGCAGATGGAACGACCCTCTAGCACAACTGTCACAGCAGGAACCACGGTGGAGACAAGATCATCGTCCTCAAGCCCAGGGAAGCCTTGGAATTTGTTTCTAGAATTGTTGTTGTTGGCGGTGGTGGTCGTGTTACCAACATAGAAAGCCAAAGAAGAGGAAGTTGAAGGTGCACCCGTGATCTGTCTTCTATCTTGCCATCTCTGTTTCAACAAGTCTTGTCTTTGGGGGTCAAAACTGTTCATTGTATCAGAAACTGATTTTCTTCTGCTGTTGAAGGCAAAGTGAGAAAAAAAGGTAATAAAGTTTATGAACAAAAAAATGCTAACACTATATAGTATTTGTACACTCAAAAAGACTGCAAATGGTTGGGTGTTTGTTAATGCCGCATGGGAGGGAGAAGAGAAATGAAGGCCTTATGGTCTAGAATGGATCTAAAGTGAAAAGGGTTAACTTGAATGGAGTTTGGTAAAAGTTCAGATCATAAAGAGGTGGTTATCAAATCTGAGACCTTGTGGGGTTCCTGGGGCACTATCTTTGATGGTGCATGTATTTGATGAAGTGTTGTTGAAAAATGAATCACATATAGAGATGCAAAAGAGAAAGAGAGAGAGAGAGAGCACAAATGTCGGGAGAGGTCAGATAGGTGTCTAGAATCCACCCCAACCTCGTGGCTTAGTTTTCCTTTTTCAAGACCATTTATTGGAGTCCCCTAACTCTTAATTTCTCCCTGTCAAAATATCTCAGTCACTTTTCATCTCTCTGTTCCTTAAATTCACTATGTGTCTCTATCCCCCACCACCCCATTTCTTGCTTACCATTTTCTCACTTAATTAAATTGTTACTGTTATCTACACTTTTTTCTCCTTTGTTTTTCATTTCTTTTCTTTCTTAACTCAAGAGAGAGAGGGAGAGAATTAAGTTAGGCAAATGGGTGGTAGGAAAAGTACGAGATTGAAAAAGGTGGGGATGTTTGCTTGTGATTGCAAAAGATGGTGTTACCATAGATACATTAATATATAACTTAAGTTCATCTTTAACTATATTTTATTGTACATATTTTAGGAGTACTAAAATATTAGCTAGAGTGTTGCATTTACGTTTATGGTAGGTCCTGTTGTCAAGATGAATAACAATAATACAATTTCCATGGGGATAGCCACAAAAAAATAATTTAATGCGTCAACAAAAAGCAAACTTAGCTACGCACGAGATTGCCCTAAAGAAAGGTTAAAACAATCTTGAAAGTTGCAGTGTGCATGAGCAGTGGAGACGACCGCGCTGCGGTCGCCGAACGGTTTGCTACATTGAGAAACCCAAGTTTTGAGTTTAATTTGCTTCGTCACTGAAACCTTTCGGAACAGAACTAGAATCAGTAATTATAATAGCTTTTAATGTATGTCTAGCACGAACATTGATGAAATGCCAGAATTTGTTTTCTACAGTACTATATAATTCACTTTTAGTTACAAAAATTGCCACCCTATTGCTTCATTAAATAGCATCGACTTATATAATTCTTTACCAACTAATTTAACTTTTACAGTCATATACAATTATAATTTAAAAGAGAGATGCAAATAAAATAATATTGTTGGACAAATAACATGTTTAGTGTCCCTTCTAAACTTGCCTTGAAAAACTCAATTTGTGTAGCAGATGTGCAATTGTGTATGCTATTAATAATAATTATTTAATTGAGATTGCAATGTATTGCATTGGTTTGGTGTCATTATTCTTTTTCCGAATGACAGTTTCTGCTTAACTGGTTCACAATGTGCGTGCATGGCTTGATGAGAACATATAGTTCGATTTCAAACTGAAAGTGGGCAGGGCCAAGTTTCAAGGATAAGTATGATTTTGTTGACCTTGATTACTGTCAAGTGTTAAAATTAAAATGAAAAGTCTGATTTCATTGACTATTATTTTAGCAAAACAAGCAGGAGATTTGCCTTCAAGCTTCACTGCTAAGCATATAGCTAACAAAGTTTGGCACGGATTTATGAAGACACTTGGTTAAATAGCTGCAATTCGACATAAAATATCATCTTTTTTGCTTCTTTTAAGTCGCATAATTAACTCACTGGCTGTCACATGTAGCATGTCCCGATGAAAAAGAAAAACATCAAACAGTAATCATCACTGTAAGGTTTAGAATGAGAGTAATTTGGCATTCAAAATTTGTTGCCGGGTTACACGGTTTACGTAGATCACAAGGCCACCAAAAACACCAAGAGCCCAATTTTCGATTTTAAGGTGACAATTGGCTTTATCAACAACGCAAGCAACCTCTTGTGCTGCAACTTGGGATCATAAATTCCTAACTTTGGGATTCGACGTTAAGTGGAGTTTGTGTCATTTGCCTCTGCAGAGAAACTAGAGTGGTTACATTATTAGGGCTGTGTAAGACCCAACACAATCTCTCCCGTTTTTGTCACTGGGAATACGGCTTTTAAAACTTACTTTTTTATCGCAATTCTACAATACATAGTGTTTTGTAGTTATTTAAAGGCAAAGTTTTTGTACAGAAATTTATACACAATTTGATCATATGAATCCAAGACTGATATATAGATTCAGTTAAACATAGTCAAACACATATTCAGCAAGCTACTCATGCCATTTTCATAAAAAAAATGAAAATAATGAATATTGTAGGTAATAACCTTATTTTAATGGTAAAAATATATAGTTATTAATTATTTTTATGATCCATTTATAGTATCAAATATACATTTCCTTAAAAATTATTAAATATATACATTTGCAATTATTTATATCTACAAAATAGGTTTTATAGAATTAAAATTAATTTATATATAAATTAAAACCAAACGTTAGAAGAAGTGTTAGCATGAAAAAAATTCCAGAAGCAAAATTTATATACAATTAATTGTAATTAGTGGACAAATATTTTATTTTTAATATATATATTTAGGATTCTTTTAAATTAATTAGGTGTATGAGTTAGTTAAATTAAGTAAGTGCAAAAATTAATTACATGACACTTTTCCATAACTTTTTTATAAAATAAAAACTTTATCCATCTCAATGTTGAATTTTATATTCTTATTAATACGTATATAACTGTTTATATTAATTTTTAAATTTATTACGTCATTTAATTTTAACATATAATATGATATTTAAGAAAGATATATTTTATTTAGATAATATATTTATAAAAAAATAATTTGCGTGAAATTTGATACTCATTGTCATTAAAATAATATTATAATTTTCAATTATTATATTTTACATTATATATATATATATATATATATATATATATATATATCATTTAATTAGCCTGATTGAGTGAGGAGAGTAATTTTTTTATATTGATTAAAAACTATTATGTTTAATGTTTTTATTTTATTGTTCCAATTTAAATTTTATTCTTCATTCATCTTACAAATTTAGAATTATTTTTGTATGTACTGTGTTAAAATAAATTATATTGCTAAGTAACTTAAAAATAATGTCAGATAAAACATTTAATATAATTATCGTAAAAGTCTAGTAGATTATCATTCATTTTAATTTTGGGATTGGAAAGTACTTGTGATACATTTTCATTAAATTGGTGAAGTTAACTTGTTTCACATAGTTAACATACTTTGTTACTTCAGTTCTACTTTGAAGTGAAGGGAATATGGCATCGATTGGTTACCAATTGGGCCTGGACTGGTCTACTATTTTATCCAACTGTAGTTAAGGAACGGTCAGCAAGAGTTTTTCTTCTTTTGGGCTTCAAAGATATCATAATAGGGACACTATTATTCTCACGGTGTTTTTTTATGTCTCACACTCAAATCTTTTCATTTTTCCTGACGAAAATATTCTTGACCTAATGTGGACGAATAAGAGAAAAGGCAAAGGAAAGGGAACAAATAAATTGTTTGGTAAAGAAAAAATGAGTTAGAGTGAGATGGAGGAAAGAAAAGGATTAGAAGACAATGGTAAAAGGTGGAAAATAGATAAAAATGGAAATAAAAAGAAAAAAATAATAAGACATTTTGTTGTGTGTTTGGGATAAGTGGGAATCTTATATTTTTTGAATGAACAAATATATATATATATATATATATATATATATATATATATATATATATATACAATCAGATAAAAAAATTTATTATTTTAAGAAATGCTAGAAAAATAATATTAAGATTATTATTATCTTTTGGATAAAAACAAAATCTCTTTTACACACAAATAAGTCTGTATGAAATGAAAAAAGAAAAAAAGACTATTAAAAAATAATTATTAATTATAAATTTATAGATTCAATAAAGCATCTTGTTTTTTCAGCAGAAAAAAATATATTTTTATTATTATTAGAAACACGCAACTTATTTTACTATTTTTTTTTCCTAAAAAAATACCTCAAATCTTATAATTTAAGTTCTACATGCTCTTATAAGGTAAAAAAAAAAAAAAAAAAAAGGAGTGAGAATAACAAAACACTCGAAAAAAGAGGAAAACTAACACATTGCTAGGTCCAGTGGGCTGCTAAAACAGGCCCAACTCCCATTTTCCTTTTTCCGTCAATGGCTCGATGTACAAAACCCTAATTACCGCTTCGAGCCCTCGCGGCTTGACAGTACCAGGTTTCGACGATTGCGATCCTCTAGAGAAGAGCATAGCATTCTACTATGGCCGTGAGTAACGTTTCCTTACTCTTTCTCCTGTTCGTCATGTTCAATTCATTTCATTCACATTACCCACATCTTCATAACTGCGATTTCAATTTTCCCTTTGCTTCTGGCACTGAGTCGATGTTGTTTGAGTATAGAAGATCATACCGTGTGATTAATTGTGCCTTATTTCTAATTTATTTATGCTTCTTTGGGACCTCGTGTTCTTACAGACTATACCAGTTAATCCCAAGCCTTTCTTGAACAATTTGACTGGGAAGCCTGTAATTGTGAAACTCAAGTGGGGAATGGAGTACAAGGGTATGCTGATTTGTTATGGATCAATTTTTCTACTGTTATATGGCTGTTGAAACCTTCGTTTCAGTGTTTATTCCTTAGGTGTTTAAATACTGCATGAATTTTATTTGTTTATCATTTCATCACTATTTTTTTTTTCTCAGGGTATCTCGTTTCTGTTGATTCGTATATGAACTTGCAGGTATGTACCTAAGTTGAATTCTGAGGTGTTTGTTCCCATATAATAATAAGATGTTTTCAGCCTCTTCTTGGCTTAGTAGGTATATCGTTTTAAAAGTTTTTAATATCTATGAATTATTATCGTAGCTGGCAAACACTGAGGAGTACATTGAGGGACAGTTTACGGGAAATTTAGGAGAAATTTTAATCAGGTAAATTCCCTATGAACTACTCTATTTCATTGGTTTTTTGTGTTTTGCTATCACATAGGGGTGCTCAACTTTCATCCAAGCCTTTTTTTAAACCGTTAATGGTGTTTTTGTAAACAAGTTCAACTGAACTTAACTCACATTTTTCAGTCCAATAACGTTATTGCTTCTCCATTTGTTGTTGCCTTGGAAAGTGCAAATGGAGCTTGGTGGCTAGGAAAAAAATAATCCAATTCTAAATAGATATAAAAAAAAAAAATTAAAGAACCAATCAAGTTATTATCAGAAGACATTAAAACCCTAAGAACCGTTTTTTCTTTTTTCTTTTTTTTTTCATTCAATTCAAATTAATTTTACATTTTTCATTTTCAAAATCTAACCAAACCTTATATTACTATTATACCCCAAATAAATTATTTTGACTATCCCATTTAGTTAATGAAAATGGCTATAACAAGTGATATCCTTGCATTACTTCCTAAGATGCTTGAAGCCTTTATGTTGTGTAGGTTCTTGATTATTTAAATCACACCCTTAACCAAATAATGAAGCTCAGGTTTGTATAGTCAATTATTTAAACGGCTTCAACAAGTTGTAGTTTGCTTTTACTGTTCAGATTGAACGCTTTTCATCTAAAACATGGATTCCAACTGAATCAGAAATACCCCTTGCTGCCACAAGTAGATTCTCATTATGAATTCCACTATGTTTTGAAATTTATCGTGATTTTGGGAACAAGACTTTTGTTACTCTCCCCTTCTAACATTTATGTAGCTACAAGATAGCATGATATATGGTGTTTGAATCATGTTGCTTAAACTGATAAAGTTCATCTGAACCTAGACGGTTTAAATTTATCAAAAGTAAAAGCTACTTTATGGTTACACCATCTAAATATTGTTTGCAATTTTGTCATCCTTGTCATGTTGTTGAAAATTATTTTTTTAATTAAAACTAGCTACAATCTGGTGTTTCTTTTAATTTCTAAACATGATGAACATAACAGTGTTCCACAGAAAAGTAGATATATGCATTTCCTCCATTTCACTTGGTCACTCTATCCTCTTGGGTGTCATTTCTTATTACATTAGCTGATTTTATTTCATTGTTTGTTTCTAGATGTAACAATGTTCTTTACCTTCGAGGAGTTCCAGAGGATGAAGAAATCGAAGAAGCCGCAGAAGACTAGAGCGATAAAAATTGCTAATTGTGATGACAAACAGAACTGCTATTTTTTTACTGCTTTTGTATCTTAGATGTATGATTTTGTAGTATGTGTAGAAGAGATTTTAATCAATGATATACTCGGGAATATTAGGGTGCCTGTTCACATTCCTGCTGGTGATTCTACTTAAATTTGTTTTTGCATCATGATTTTCATGCGATTCAAATGAGTAAGACTGGGCTTAGATTTTATGGAATCATACACAGCTCAATTAGATAATTATAGTTTATTGACAAAATGACCTATTTATTCATCAGATATTCCTTCGTCGTCCTTGTAGATCCTATAAATCACAATTTTTATTTTTATTTTAAAAGCTGAAACAGTTACTGTCACTTATGTTCGGGCATTAACTAACATATTAACCTAAGTTATAGAATAATGCCTTATCAATGGTGGTAAAAAAACATTTTACGTCCATTATTCAAAATCTCTAAACTTGCACAACAACCACAATTAAATTAACTTTTGACTACAGGTATTATTTATATCTATTAGATGTGTTAAATGTTATTTATATTTTGAATTAATAATTCAAAATACATATGTTGTATTTATGAGATGTGTTAGATGATGTTATGTATATAAATGTTGTATATTTATTAAAGTTAAAATATTTTATTACGTGTTGTTAATCATAATCAATAAATATATATTTTAAGGTTTTGTAAAAATTAAGAAATACAATAAATTAATAAAATATATTTTATTTATTATTTCCTTAAAAATAAACTTTAAGAGATAAAAAAAAATGAGAGATATTTTATTATTCATTGTCTCTATTTAATACCATAAATGTAAATCATTAAAAGTTAAAAGATACTAGGATATAACTGAAAAAAAAAAGGTAACATGATGTTAAACCTTTGTAAATGATAATAAATAAAATGAGAAATTATTCAAAAATTATTTGTGGTAATTGAAAACCTAGGATATTTTTTCTCTGTTACGTTTTTAATTGTGGTAATTGAAAATAAATGTTTATTTATTTACAAATTTATGTTAAAGATTTTTTACATTTTTTTTATCTTAGTGTCAACTTTTTTGTTAATTTTAATTAAAAGGTAATTGCTATCAACGTCCCTACCAATATATCTGATAGAGTGTTTGAGTTTTTTCCTACAAAAAATCAATCCGAATCATAAATTGGTTAATTTTTTCTCCTGTTGTTTTCTTCTCACGGTTTATTAGCAGTAAGACATATTATAATTGGTTACTTTTATTTCATTTATTTGTTAATGATGTTTATAAAAATTATCAAAATGATAAAAAAACTATTATAACAATAAATTGTTATCGTAATCAAACTATCATCAAGACAAAAACAATGGTTGTAACTATGTATTATTCAATATTCATCTTTTAATGCTAACATTAAAATTATGAAGTAAATACAACCGTATATCTTCATACAACCGTAAATCCTATAACCATTGATAGTAACAAAATTCTTGTACTGAATTTCAAGACCTTCGAGTAAAATTGTGTTAATTTTCTTTTTATAGACAATAATTTCGTCCTTTGAAAACAAAAACATTAAATATATAAGACCTTATTAAAAAAATTGAATGCTTGTAAAGATATATGAATTCTTTCATACAAATACCTCTGATATACATAACTCTCCTAATTTTTTAAAAGTTAGGATCTTCATGGTTGTTTAAACACATTATTATTATATATATATATAAATCATACTCAAATTTTCTTTTCATGTGACTATTAATTTCAAATATCAAATTTCTCAAATAATAATTTTTAGTTAAATGTATTTCAAATTTAACTACTACTATCTTCAAATTAATTATTTTATTGTTTTAATGATTAAATTTAAAGTATTTCTTATGTAATATAGTGCTTAAAACAAAACAAAAAATTATTATTTCCTATATAATATAGCGCCTAAGACAAAAAAAAATGGAATATATTTAAAAACATTTGTTGCAATACACTTATTTTTATCTACGGTCATTATTTTAACTCAACAATTTGTGTAATAAAATATTCTATTGAATATTTATGTGCATTACCAAGATAAAAGTCGAATTATAATTAGAAAGTAGCATATATAATATTTATAAAATTTTGTATGCACTTTTTTTTCTTGTATATACTATAGCTTTTAGAAATATGATGCAGGTTTTGCAATGGATAAAAAGTAAAAAAAAAAACTTAATACTTACTTTTTTATTTAAAAAAAAAAGTTTGTCAACAGTATTTATATCATGCTAATTGATTAAACTTCTCTCACACTACAATTTGATTAAATATTATATACTTACGTTTTTATGAAGATGGATATAAAAGGGGCAAAGATATTTTACGAAAACACCTTGTAATATAAATGATGGTTAGGTAAAGATTAAGACCAATAGCAACTTATTAATATGGATTTTCACGTTAAACCTTTCAAAAACAAAGGAATGGACCCACATTTTATTTTATGTGGTTCAAAATTGTGGCATGTACCCTCAAGTCACAATCGTGCCCTCATGCTTCACATGATTCTTCCACAGCTTTCCATAAAATGGGTGTGATGTGAATGCCAAGATCCACAGTTTTTATTTTATTATTATTATTATTATTATTATTATTATTATTATTATTATTATTAAAGAAACATACATAGTACACCCATTTATAAATCTGACAATTAATAATTAATTTGTATTTACATATTTTTTTAATGAAATTTTATTTTATTATTATAATAATAGATTTAAGAACCACCATATGTTATATAATATATTTTTTTAATTATTTATTATCTTAAAAACATAAAATTTAAATTTTACTGTGTCACAATACATTTATAATGAATTATTCTAAAATATTTTTAAAAATACTTATTTATTCATTTTTAAATGAAATAATTAATAAAAAATTATATAACTTAAAATCACTTAAATTTTCTATAATAAAAATCCACTTCAAACAACCAATATTTGATTTAAATATTCTTAATAAATAATTTTAGCTAAATATATTCTTAAATTGAGAGGCTAGATTAAAAGTTGAATTAAATTATAGTATTATTTTCAATATATATTTAATTGAAAGTAAATAACACAGGTGGAGGATAGTTCTAATTAATTTAGCGGCAACAACACGGAATTGCCTACCCCACCAAATTTGGCCAATCAAAATGTATGAAGAACTGTTACGTGATCAAACCATTCATGGCCTTTAAAAATATGCATTACGTATTTTATTAAAAAATTATTTTTAATTACGTAATTAGCATCTATTTACCTAATTTTTTTAGGTTTTTAAGTTTACTTAAATGTAAATTTTTTTGTTTGATGGAATGATGATGATAAAGTAATTTGATTTGGTAATAATTAAACAATTGCACACGTAAAGTATTTACCATATAGATTTACAAGAATTGCACATAATTAAACAATAACTTAACAAATTATCTATTTCAGTAATTTGCAGAAAATTTAGGCATATTTAAAACTGTTGACAATGTAAAAAGAAAAGGCTGCCATCGACCAGGCTCTGCTGACAGAATCCATGAGAATTGAAAGCTTTGATAAAAAGTAGTCATTTCTTTTGACAGAAAAGGATTTATATTGATGGCGATGATGATAATAAATAAGAGTTGAAAGTTTTTATGAAATTGTTGAACCAAATTAAATATGCTCCACCACTGCATCAACTGCCCCATTAATTGCCATCATAGTAGGTTTGTGGAAGCTACTAGATTGTTTCTTCACAGTTTTTTGTTTTTTTTTTTACTGTCATTTTGTGTATTATATTCACGAATTTTAGTTTAGATTATTTTTATCAAAAAAATATATAAGTAATATTTTTAACGAGACAAAAACTATTTATTCTAAAATTATTTTTTAAATTTTTATTTAATAATTAAGATAATTTATTATTTTTAATTATTAAATAATAGATAATAAAAATAAATCTTGAGTTTTTATTTATCCTTATCAATTTTTTTCTTGGACTTGTTATATTGGTAGACTTAAATCAGAAATGTTAGTTGAAAATGTAGAGTTTGAAAAGTTGATAAGCACTTGTTGAAAAGCCTGGTTATGTTGCGATGAAAATTAACATAAATATTGACAATAAGAGACGGTTATTTGTAGAGCAACAACTACCAACAATATATAAAATAATTTATTAAAAAAATCTTCTCAATTATTAATCAAAAATGTTTTTGTTAAAAAAAATTAATATATTTCATTTCTCCTGACTTTACGTGTTTATATATATATATATATATATATATATATATATATATATATATATATATATATATATATATATTAAGATTAAAAATAAAAATTATTATTAATTCATATAATTAAGATAACAGAGAATAATTCAAATTAAAATAAATAAAAATTTTATATATAATTTAATTAAAGTAATATATTTATCATTTAATATATATTCAACTAATAATTTACTTTTAATATTTTATTTCTATAAAAAATAAATATAATTTATTTAGACACTTTTAATTTTATTTTTCGTATATTGATTAATATTATAATTTTGAATGATTGTAATTTTTTTTTTTTGTATATCGTGAATAGGGATTTTACCTTTAAATAAAAAAAATGTTTTAGGTTTTTAGGAATTACTAATTATGATATATTAAAATTATTTATTCTTATTATTATTTTCTTTACACAATTTAAAACCATACATGATAACTATATATATAAAACAATTTTCTTGTAATACCAATAACTTATACAGTTAAAAAATATATTTGTTTTAATTGATATTTTATATTACATATATTTTTAATGTAATATAATTATTAATTTAAAAAAATATAAAAAACAAACTTTTTGTTGTCTTTAGAGATAAATTTTTGTTTATGATGTATTGAAAATTTATTTATAATAATTCAATATTAGAATATTAGAATTAATATATAGAAAAGAAATAAAAAATACAATATTTAAAGTGAATTGATATATTACTTTATTTATACTAAATAATAAATATACTATTTAAGTAAATTACATACTTAAAAATATAACTATCTTAATGTAAAATATATTAAATAATATGTTTTTTAATCTAATCATAATTAATAATAAAATAAGAGAATAAGTGAAAAATAATATTTAAGTATACCTACTTTGTGATAAAATAAAATGAAAAATAGATATATTTAAAGAATGGAAAGAGAAAAAAAAATAATTATATAAAAAAATAAAGAGTATATTAATTCAAATTAAAATAAAAAATTAAGAAAATAATAAAAAGTGGAAGCATTATTTTCTCGAAATTTTAAACCGAACAAGTTATGATTTTTGTTGACTTTTAAATAAATAAAAACCAGTGATGTATCTCTTTATTTTACATATTAAATACCTTAATTCTCATACATCTAGAACAGTTCTTACTAAATAATTTTTCAAAATATGCATTATTACTGAAAAAAAAAAGGCGCTCACACTGTAAATATATTGTTTTTTGTGAGAGAAAAATATAAATAAGTATATCTCTCAAGGCCACAAAACCGAGTGCATTTTTTAATTGAAGTAAGTATAAATAATTTGATTAGATAATTTTTTAAAAATAATTTAAGAAAATTTTATATATTATATATACAAAACGGAATGATTCACCCAATTTTTAAATTATCTGAAAGAATATCAAACCATTTTTTTTATAAATCCAAAGAAAAAAACAGTTAATCAATCAGCTAGTCAAAATTATAAAATTATTCATATGATATTAAATAAATAAAAATAAAAATATCATTTTTTCTAATTTTGCCATCATTTAATATTACAATGAAATAAAAAAGAATAATTAATCGAATTAAAAAATATCCTAAGATTTCAATTAACTCTTCGTTAAAGTTGGGGAAATGGAAATTGCTGAACAGATTGCGGGAAATGAAAAATTGTGACATATCCAGTCAATTGTATGGCAGAGATTATTGCATTTTGGGATATTTAAATCTAATAATAACACTTTGCACGAAATCATTTTTTACCTGGAAACATTTTCATAGTTCATAGGATACAATACAAGGAATTGCCTCGTCTCTGAACCTATTTTCAGGTTCATCATACATTACAAGCTACTAGAGTAAACACTTCATAGTCTAGGTATAAACAGTATATAAATTACAAGAACAAAAAGAATCCTTTAGGAAATATAGTGAAAAAGAATCGTAGGAAATGTTGTCGCTATGGCAACAAGCACCCCTCAATTTCGAGGGCACCAATGAAAGCTGGCGCAAATTAGGCCCTTTCAGTATCTTCTAGTCACAACTCTGTCTAAGCACGTTTTATTATTGTCATCACGGCTGGCATTCAGATATGATCATCACCATACATCGCGCAAATACCTGCCTGATGTTTGTAAATTCTTTACCATGCTCTCAGCCTGGGAACTATCCAGAGAACCCTGATTATCCACAAAACAGAGGAACTTGATTAGCGCCATACTCAGTATCTTATGGAAAAGGAAAATTCATAGTGAATAATATCACACAAGACAAAAAACCTCGTGCCCTCTGGAAGAGACAATCTCTACAAAAACGACGTGATTTCTACATGCTCTAGGTAACACATATTTTGTTTGGAATTTATATGTTAACCAACAAAATTCCCAAATTAAAAAACTGCCGCAGGTGGAAGCAGCTATTATAAGGCACCAAATTTGCAATTCAAGACTTGTTTTGTTATTTTAAAAATATACCTGCTCTTGCAAAATTGTGTGCAGGGCGCGGTGTACATCCCTAGCCATGCCCTTGGCATCGCCACACACGTAAATATAAGCACCCTGAGATATCATGCTCCAAATTTCGGAAGCCTGGCACATGAACCCGTTGATTAAGAGAAGGCATACAACTTTAGTTGGTAATTAATAAATCTCATGAGAGAAAAGTAAGTACCTTTTGTATCATTTTATGTTGCACATATTCCTTGGTAGGTCCCTCTCGCGAGAAGGCAACAATGAGTTCAGAGAGTGCGCCAGTATTAATGAAGTGATTCAACTCGTCTTCATAGATGTAGTCCTTTAGAATAAAAATTATTAAAAAATATCGGTAAGTCGATCTAAATTGTATTTAACTAATAAATCTGCGTTGAGAATAGATAAGATAACTCACCATTTGACGGTTCCTGCATCCAAAAAATAAAACAGAGGGACCAAGTTCAGCTCCTCCTTCTTTCAGAGCTAATCTTTCCTGAGTTAAATATAAAAAACAAAATAAATAAATGGAATTGTAGATGGACGGAAAAAATAATTAAGAAATAGAATATCAAGTAGATTATATACCTGCAAGAAACCCCTGAAAGGAGCCAATCCGGTGCCAGGACCAATCATGATTATAGGCACTTTATTATCAACAGGGAGTCTAAAGTTGGACGTCCTAACAAAGACAGGAGCCCAACTGCAGTCAGTGCTTTTCTCCAATGGCACAGAATTCTGGACATCAAACCAAATGGTAAGTTTTGTTTTGAAATGGAAAAATAAACAGTATAGTTTAGTCACTGAAAGAAATATTGCCAATCTTAACTAATTTAACCATAAAGCTAGGAAACAAATATAATACCTTCATCCATGTGGAACACACTCCTTTGTGAATCCTTCCAGTGGGCATTGTATCACGTACTAATGCACAGGTAACATGAATTCTGGTCGGCACCATTCTGTTAACAATTACAAGAAACAGCAAAACAGTTAAGTACAAGAACATAGGTTTCTATGATATACAGCTGAGGAAGATCTAAAGATATCAAAAAGCTACATTTACAGTTTTGAGACCAATGTAAACAGGCATACTTAAGAACGTAAGGGAAGATCAGGGTTAAATGGGTAGGCTAAGAAATCAGGACACCTGAGATATTGCAAAGTTGGTTGCTAATTTGCTGACAGGACACCTTAGAACTACATGCCTACACATGTACAGACAGTAATGCAAAGCAATAAAAAGAAATTAACCTTGGAGACGAGGAGATTGAATAAAATCTTGGCTGCAGGCGAGGAGCAACTGCGGCAAAAAATACACCAATTGGAGGTTTGGCTGATGGAAATTCAGCCATGACCTCAAGGAGACTTCTCTGAGAGGCAATCACCCACTCTGAATATTCATCCTACAAAAGCAGACAAGAGTAAGATACAAATGAGTAGGTACAAATAGTTACTTCAAATTCCCATGGTATAAAATAATAAAATATTAAACCTTTCCAGCAGGTGAGGCAAGATGCCTTAGACGATCAGCTTCAGATGGATCAGATGCATGAGCAGCTAAGGCAAGCAAGACAGACTGGAAAAATATGTTAAGAATTATTAATTGGTCACAAAGTCAATCTCTCAAGACGATAAAGGGATAAGGTTGAAATTACGGGTGTATCAAACTCAAAACAAACACCTTTTTGGGTGAACTCAAAACATCAGCATATCGTGCAATTGCAGTTCTTAGAGTACAAGGTGGGAATGGAGGTGGCAAGGAGCTTCCGCTAAGTGGTTTCCCATCTTCATCATCAGTATGGATAGAGAAATAGGTATCTGGTGACAAGCCTATTAACCTTAACGCCTCTTCCACAGTTTCAGACAAATTCTCACAGTACACACCAACATGGTCCCCTGTTTCATATCTGTGAAATAAAACAAGCATAAGAACATGGAAAATGTACGAAGGTTATATTTCCACAAGAAAATACTTACGCAACTGTAGTGCCTGAAATGTCAAATTCCAAATGAGTGCAAGATCGATTGGATGCTGGAGTATGAAGCTCCTTACGCACAGCCACATTTGCCCTGCACAGGCATAAGTATTTGTGTCAGATTATAGAATGACAAACTGATTTGCATTTGAAATACCATCCAAATGTACCTGACAGGATGTTGAGCATCCACAATGGCATGACCATTTACATTATGCCACTTCTTTTCATCAACAGACACTTCCAAAGGATCATGAATAACAACCCGGTATTCCAAGACAGCAGCAGTGTAAGGTGTAGACACAGCTGTATCATCCTCATCTCTAAGCAATTGATCCAATGTTGGCCACAGTTCTTCTTTCCTGCAATAACAATCATAGTTAGGGGAGGAGAAGCAGTACAAAAATAGATTCCTGCTCCAATATATTCATGTCAACTTAATTATTTCAATACCATGCAGTGAAGTCATCCTCAATACATTGATCATCATCTCCTAGACCCACTGGCAAAAGACGCTTTCCTCCTGCAATGGCAGAAGCCAGATCAGATCATATTCATGGTGAGAAGTAGAACTATCAAAGTGTGAAAGATTAAAATAAGTAACATAAGTTTGATAATTATAATATAACTACGCTTGTGATACATGAACTTTTCAGTATACAGAATTTATATGAATCATGTTAAATGACAACCCAAAGCAGAAATCAAACTCTTTAAAAAATAACCTACTTATATTACAAAACTTCATTTAGTGAATTCATTTAACAGTCATTGACTCTGGAGAATCAACAAAAGGTTACTTATCAACCAACAAAGTGTAATTCATAGCTGAATTCAACAAAAGTATAAAGATTTAGGATTGCTATCCCTTCTCATGTGAGGGTCACGTGGAGAGAAAATAGACAAAATAAAGTGTTAGGATTGCGGGCCCTATATTTTTTATACACCTTTTCCGTCTAGATCTCTTCAAAAATAAATATCCAGCGAGATTGTCATGTGAGATCCTCAGATCCAAAGAGTTGAAGTAATATTCACCTAAAAGACTAGTATAAGGCAAGGAGAGAGATTGCCCAATGTCCACGTCTTTATAGGGTTAACTACTAAGAGTTTCAATCTTTGGAAAACGATTGCACAGAAGTGACAGATACGAATTGTTGAAAAGAATATGTATTTGTAAAGACTTTTTTCTATTATTAAAAAGGTTGATCGCCTTCATCAGTGATTGTACACCTTTACCAATCAAATTTAAATATGCCAATTCCCATGGAAATAATTGAGGACTGAACGGGATAAAGAGGAATAAATAGTATACCTTGCTCAGCAAGCATTTCATCCACTACTATAGCCACCTGCGTTAATTCCCACAGCAACCAGCAACTCCATGGTTAAAATCAAATTGAAACATTAGAAAGCAAGAAGACTGTAGGGAATTCAGTGCAAACCTTGTTAAAATGCTCATACTGTCTGTTCCCAAGGCCAAACACACCATAATGAAGATTCTGAAGCCATCCTTCTCCTTTCTCTCCCCCCTAATCACATTGACACACAAAGTCAAAACATAATCCCACGATTTTATTCAACAATAATGCCACGGAGCCAGTAGCAAACTCACCTCCGTAAACCATTTATAAAACCTTGCCGCATTATCAGTAGGCTCACCATCACCATATCTACACCCACACCACAACATATTAAATCCCAAACTATACCACAGAGAGAAAGATTAATAGAAACAAAGCATAATAATTTAATTAAAAAATGATGAAAAATACTCACGTGGCTAAAAAGAAAAGAGCATGCCTCTCCTTCTTGAACCTTTCCTCGTATTCTTCGTCATCAGCCGCGTAATCATCCTGCTCGGAAAAAACCCCAACGGGTAAGCATAAAACCATGGTAACAAACAAACGGAAATAGAATAACAGTAACAGTAATAACGGTACCAAATCGACGACTCTGAACGTGGCCCTCTCGTAACGCGCCTTAGCCTCTTCCGCTATGGCCTGTTGAAAAGCAAAATTCAATTGGAGTGAGGTTCAGAAGAGACGGAAACAGAAACAGAGACAATTAACTAATTGTTTAATTGATTAACTAATTAATTAACGAGTTTTGAAATGGATAGAGACCTTGGAGAAGCCTTCGGCGGTGCCGGTCTGAGTGCCGAAAAAGATGGTGACCTTCTTGGTGCCATCGTCGAGCTCAACCTCGGGAAGCTTCTCGACGAGGCGCTTGGGAGGCTCGAGAGGCTTGGGCTTGGGGGAGGCGGATCTCCGCCAGATGAAGACGACGACGCAGCCGATAAGGACGGCGATGGAGGTGGTGAGGACCATGACAAATTCGCGGTTCTCGAGAAAGACGGTGGCGGCGGAGGAGGTGGAGGAGGAGAAGTTGGAGGGGTCGAGGGTGCCCTTGATCATGGCGGACACGAGATCCAGAGGGGAAATCTTGATGGAGCTTGAATCTTCCATGGTAATGGTGGGGTGAATGAATGAGTCGAGGAAATTGAGCCAAGGAGGAAAGAGTGGGGTGAGTCTCTCGTCTCGGAAGTTGTGTGGTGAATGCAAAGTAGTTGGGAGTTGAGAGAGAGACTCTGAAGAAGGAAATGCGTGGGTGAGGGGGTTATATTGTTGGGAGGGAAACAATACAACAACAACAACGACGCCTACCAACCCAGACCGGTCAAATCCACCTACCACACCTCCCCTTAACCTTAACCCTGGTTAAGGTTAATCTTAACCCTCCCTTCTTCTTTTCTAATTTTCTTTCCTCTATTCATTTCATAAATTTACATTACTAAAAAAATCACTGCAATCGGATTTAGTTTATCAAATTTGAGTATGGCAAAATTTTGTTTTAATTATTAAGTACCTTAACTTTATTTTTTATTTTTAAAATATCAAATCATTAATATTAATTTAAAAATATTAAATTAATTTTATTTTCTTCATTAATCTTAGTCATTTTTTCATCAAATATTTAATTTAAATATATATATATATATATATATATATATATATATATATATATATAAGTAAGCATTTTACTTGTTTTATTTTGCATCTCCAACAAAACAAACTGCTATTAAATAGATAGGAAAAAATTTCCATATACTTAAATAATGTCCTTACCCACATTAATCAAAATAAGATTAATAAACTATATTTTAGTGTCATACATTAAAAAACAAATATTGGTCAACTTTACAGTTAAAATAACACTAATACTGGTTGAAAATAAATTTTATACACTAAAAAAAACCAAAAAACACGACAAACTTCAACTGAGTAAATTTAGGTGATTTCTGCTGTAAATTTGTTTCATCAATATTAGTTTATATTATAAATCTAATTTTTCGAAAGAAAAAAAAATATTTTCCTACACGGATAAATAATTTCAATCTAACTATGAGATTTTGACTAAGTATATAGAAAAAAATTCTCACTTGATGAAAACAAAAAAGTCTTTTTATTACAAATCAATCAAACCCTAATTAATATTTATCTATAAATAATATTAATATATATTTTAATCAATGTTAATAAAAAAAATAATCACTAACATCAATTAAAAATAATTTTATTTGACATCTGATCTTAACAAAATAATAACATATATCTGAACAGTGAAAAAAATAACAAACTACTTTGACTTTGTATTAAAATAAATATTGTCAACCATAATCAAACACAACCTGAATGAATTATGTCACGATTTTGATTTAATTGACAATATTTTAATCATATTAAGGAAATAATAAAGAATTATAATGAAAGAGTAACTAGTAAAAAGAATTTATTTTTGTTTAAATTAAAATTATATAATAATAAATAATTAAATTAATCTTACAAATGTTTATAATTTTTAAAAATTACATATTTAAATAATATATTTTATTATAAAATATTTAGTTAAATATATTTTATGTATTTTTATTTTGATCTTTATATTTAAGAAAATATTAATTAGTCTTTCAAATTATAAATATATATTATTTTAATAAAAAATTATACTTAAAATTAATATTTAATATAAATATAAAAATATTGATAATATATGTAATTTTAATTTTTTATCTAAAATTATATTTAAATAATAATAATTATTATTAAAATATAAAAATTATAAAATGATTAAACTAACGTAGTTTAAAGTTTGATAACTATTTATTATTTTTTAAATACAGTAGACTAAATTTAATTTTTCAAAAAGTTAAATATATTATCCTTAAATAATTTATATATTTTATAAAATAGTTACTTTTTAAATTTTTACTTTTACTTTTATTAGTTATTATTTAATTATATAATCTATCATAATTGATATTAATGATTATAATTTATTTTAAATGTAATATTTTCAAAGTTAAATTTATCTTTTCTTATCTCTTCTTATGGTTTACCACTGTAATTCCTCTCTCTTTTAATCACATGTATTTTAGTTTATAAATAACTAATTTGAGTGACAATAAATGTACTCTTTAAAAAATAAACATTATTTATAATTTGATTTTTGTAAATAAAATAATAATATATTTTTTCTATTAATTTTAATAAAATTAAATTAATAGTCTGAATTTAGTAAATTAATATATTTTATAATTAATTAAAAAAAATGTAACGAGATAACTGATTAAAAAATTATAATTGGTTCTTAAATATTTTTAAAATCCTCAGCATTTTTTCATTTTCTAAAGGTCTAAAGCAATTATAACTCACTATAATAGATGGAAAAAAAAACTTCAATAAATGGGTTTTAAAAAAATTACAATATCAATAACCTGATTATATATTTTTCTGGATCACTTGTAACCAGACAATGATATTCGAATCTTATATATTATTGGAATGTTCAACTTAATTGTATTTCCAAAAACAAACCATGAATTCATTTATCAAATTGATACAATCTCATCAAAACAATATACGGTGGCATCAGAAATTAATTTAATTTAAAAGTAAATTATATTTATAACCAGTTATTTATTTATTAATTATACTGGTATTAAAAATTTGATAATAATACAAAAATTATAAAATTAACATAAATAATTTAAACAGTTGAATATTATACCCACAGAATTGAATGTATATTACCACCTTCCTTGTTTCTATCAGAAATTTCAACCTCCGGTTTTATAAGTTTTGGTCATACCTAATACGACCTATATATCACTTTCTTTTCTGTCATCCGTCGCTACTCATGTTTTTTTTTTTTCCTTGCTGTTCCGTCTCTTCTTTAAAGTACATTTTATATACATGTTAAAATTAAATATGAATTTTTAAAATATAAAAAATATTGATTAATTTTAAAAAAAATCATGAATTATTAGATAGAGCACCATTTTTATGATAATATGAAACTACATAAGAAAATAGTATCTGTATTCATAATTGTTGGGTAAGTATAAGAAACTCAAATAATATTAAATAATTTACTTTTTATTTTAATATTAAAGTGTTATAAAAAATAGCTGATAAAGTATTTGATAAAGAAAGGATAACTCTCTATATTATTCATATGCTATACGAAATATATATAGTCAGCTTACAAATAGAAAAATATCTAAAAAAAAATTACTATGTTAATATCCCGCAACTACCCAAAAGATAAGGAAACAGAACTCTAGTAAAACTAGGTGACTTATTCAAAGTAAGCTAACAACCTTCAGTATTCTAGTAACAGCTGGAGACTTATTCAAATATATCTAATATTCCCACCCTTAAACTGAATCATCACACATATTCAGTTTACATTTGCGACAACTCCTAACTTCCTTCTCATTTGAACAAAGTCTTCCAGCTTGAGCGGCTTTGTCATGACATCAGCTACTTGTTCTTGTGAACTACAATGTTGCAGCTCAACAGTTTCATTCCTTGTAAGATCCCTTAGAAAATGAAAACGTACATCGATGTGTTTACTCCTCCCATACATAACTGGATTCTTTGACAACTTTATGGTAGAACTATTGTCACAATAGATAATAGTAGGGCTTGTTTGATTTCTTCCTACTGCCTCAAGTATTCGTCTAAGCCACACAGCCTGACAAGAACTTGCAGTAGCTGCTATAAATTCCGCTTCAGTTGTTGATAGACTCACCACTGGTTGCTTCTTCGAACTCCATGAGATAGCAGCCTCACTCATCATGAAAACATAGCCTGATGTGATTTTTCTGTCTTCAACGTCATTAGCATAATCACTATCTGTATAACCGATCAGATCTTTTCCTCCATTTCTTTGATAGAATAATCCAAATTCGCAAGTTCCTTTAAGATAGCGTATGATTCGCTTTACTGCTTGAAAATGAAGCTCCTTTGGATTTTCCATAAACCGACTAACTTGACCCACACTATACATGATGTCTGGCCGTGTGGCAGTTGCGTACATTAAACTACCGACCATCTGCTTGTAGAGTGTTTTATCAACTCCTTTTCCTTCTTCATCCTTGCCTAATTTGCTTCCTGGAACCATCGGATTATGAGCAAAATTTGAATTGTTCATTCCAAATCTCTCTAGAAGATCTATCACGTACTTCTTTTGACACACAAAAATACCATCAGATTTTTGTGTTGCTTCAAGACCGAGAAAGAATTTCATTTTTCCCATGTCCGTCATAGCAAATTCTGACTGCATTGATTTCTTGAACTCCATCATCAACTCATTGTCATTCCCTGTATAAATCAAATCATCCACATACAAACTTACCACCATAATACTGTTCTCCTCCACCTTAGTGAATAAAGTGGGTTCATACTCACATTTTGCAAATCCACGGCTCAAAAAATAGCTTTCAATGCGACTGTACCAAGCCCGGGGGGCCTGTTTTAAGCCATATAGAGCCCGATTCAGCTTGTAGACTTTTCCTTCTTCCCCCTTTTTTTTTGAATCCTTGTGGTTGTTCAACAAAAACATCTTCAGTTAATTCCCATGCAAGAAGGCAGATTTGACATCCAATTGGTAGATGGGCCATCCATGATGAGCAGCTATAGCAATGACCAATCGGATAGTCTCCATGCGTGCTACAGGGGCGAACACTTCCTTGTAATCTACTCCATATTCTTGAGTATATCCCCGAACCACCAATCGTGCTTTATACTTACTGACATCTCCTTTCTCATCACGCTTAGTTTTGAAGATCCATTTAACCCCAATCTTCTTAGCACCTCCTGGAAGCTCAGTTAAATACCAAGTTCCATTTCTTTCTATAGCTTCAATTTCTTCTTTCATGGCTTTTCTCCAAATTGGATTCTCTTCTGCGTCTTCATAGTGGATAGGATCATTTCACTGTCGACAGATCAAATGTGACTCAAAATCATCATCGAGACAACCCTTCACCTGTTACATAATCGTGCATCCAAGAAGGTTGAGTGTGCTGCCTTCTTGGAAGTTGTTGTTCACAAGCCTCCTCTTCTTGTTGGGCCACTTCATCTTGTTGTGCAACTCCTTCTTCATCTTCTTCCATCTCTTCCTC